TAGGGAGAGGGTCGGATGGAAGGATAAGAGAGTGGCCGTTAATGACTGGATAAGAATGATAAATGATGAAGTGATGGCCGCTTGGAGGGCTAAATGGATGTTGGATAATAGACGGACGGACGGACGACCGGATCGGCCATCCGATGTTCATTTATAGATACGTAACGGATGACGTTAACGCCATTATCGTCCATTTTGCGTTTGCTTCCAAACGCGACCTTCTTTCTTTCCTAATGAGGCCCTTTTTTTTTTTCCCCACTCGTGGACTAATCAAAATTCGGTGTAGTCTTGCAGCGTTTGGCCGACGGGCGCCTGGGTTGTAGCAGGTCAGCGGGGATGGTTGAGGCTCGTCGAGGGTGGCGTCACGCAAAGAAGCCCAAGAGAAACGAATTTGCTCAAAGTCATTGAGTGTTGCTATTTGTCGTGAGGCCGCGCCAGCTCTCCAGATGGATGCTGACAATTAGGCTTAATAAGGCCCCTGCGTTTGTTCTCATGACCCCACAATGGCATCAGCGGGGAGATACTTCATCCCAAACTCCAGCGACAGTTGGAACCCCTTTTTGCCACAAAAGACTTTAAGTAGGGCAGCTTTTTTTTTTTTTTTTTTTTGTCATTTGGAGCGTTTACAACTGTTTGCTGACATCCAGAGAATACCAGCACGGGGGGTTCTGTGATGCTAGCCTGCTGTGTCCAGCCTTTTGTACAAGCTGGAACACTTGCTTGGGTGACCTGTTTACTCTTTGCTACCATAACTAGCGCACAGGCGGGGCAGACGTTGGGCTCCTGCGTGCGTTCGAGACCTGACGTGAACTTTACTGGAAGCAAACTGTGTTAGTGTGTGAATGAAAACCGGTTGTGATCATGTACTCACGCTTGAGTAAAATGACAAGACCTGATTCGACTGCTTGACTTGAGTTGATATTAAAAAACAAATAAATAAATAAAAAACTAAATCAAAAACTAAAAAGAGCATTTTCGAAAAATAAAATTCTTAAAACTAACTGACTTCAAAAATCAATTTTAATTTATTATTATTGTGATTTTTTATATGTGTATATATATATATATTTTTTTTTTTTTTACGACTTTTGAAAGTTAGCGTGTCCCATGAACGTCAACATGTCCAAGGTTTCCAAAAAAAAGCTGATTTCCACCATTGATAAAGTATCTTTATGGTTTCATGGATAAACCGTTGGACATCCCCACCAACCAGCGCTATTATGCAACCGTCCAGAGCCCCTTGGAGGCAATGTTCGTAGCCATTATTCTGGCCAACACCCACCGCATTCCCCATATGTCAAATTCAATGCTTCGCAAGCCATGAGAACAACATTGTTTGTTTGTTGTGGACAAAAAAGTTGGCCTTCCGCCCCGTCAATTATAAAGTAGGCTGGTGTTGTTGGACAAACACGGCTATGACGCCGGGGCTGGACCGCACTCCCCATCCATGGGAATGACGGACCGCATTAATGCAAATATAGCGGCCTTGCGCAATTGAGCGTCGCGGCGAAGCCGACAACACAACCGGCCGATCTGATAGGTTACGCAATTAATTGGGCCGCGAGTATTATTTTGATGTCAAGGGGAGGTCGGCGTCAAACGGACGGTTTGAAGCTACGCCGGCGCAAAGACAAAAGCTTGCGAACACAAGGCTTCTTTTGTAAAGGAAGCTCAATGGGGGCTCACCGGGGTGGACTGACGCCCACTTGAATGGGTCTCTCCCAAGGCAGACTGCTACCTGGTGCTCGGCGACTAAGGCAGCGGCCTCCACACATTGCGATTTTGAAGACCCCACAAAATAATTCGGAAAGTGGTCCCTGTGCTCAAGATGACCAACACTGTCGAAAACCAATTGAGAGAACAACTAGATTATACTTGTAGAATGATACACACACACACACACACACACACACACACACACTCACTCCCCGCACGACACGTTGCTGTGTAAGCAGCAGAGGTAAAAGGTCGCGCCGCATAGGCGGCTAAGACTGTGCATGTTGAGCATAAATCCCTAATCTAGCACGGAGACATACAGAATGTACACGGTCACCTATTAAGCGCGACTTACCCAGTTTGCGTAACTCAACACATCAAGCGGTGAGACCTCCTTTAAGATGTCCTCAAATAAGCTCAAACAACAACACGACTTTTGTTCAAGTGTTTTTTTTATTTTCCTAACCAGCCAACACTTGAGCCAGGTCACCAGCGAACACACACAGATACACACACCGGAAGGATTCACAAGCGCAGTCCAGTTCTACACTTAATTGGGTCCTCCGACTTATGGCTTGAGGTGACTTTTGTGTGCCTGACTTAAACGGCTCTTTTTTTTTTTTTTTAAATGCTGCCCTTGAGACGTGGTCGTCTTCTCCTGAGCAGTTGTACCCTCGATGTCTGCTGTCGTCTCTGTCTCCGTTGATTTTTGTCATCATCTGGTGAAGAGGTCGATTCTCTTTGTCTCCTCTGCGGTTGTTCGATCTATGTCCTCTTGGTGGGTCTTCAAGTCATTTGTCTCGCCGCTCAGTCAACTCTGATGCCAAACATCGCCATGGTCATCAATTCTGTCCTATGCTCGTTTTCACTTCAAAAAAAAAAAAGTGTGGTGCACTTGCCTGCAGTGCATGCGAAATACATAATGAGCATGAGCTCAGTTGGTACTCAGTATGCGTGACGAATCCTCTATAGGGGATTCCTATGGAGGCTATCAAAAGGCTTTCTCCATATCTGTAAATTGCATGGACAGCTGCCCTTGCCGCTATGTGCGTTGCTCATTAACCCTTTCAGGGACAGCCTATCATGTTATCAGGTTACAAGTTATCATTATTGGTGCATAAAAGAGTTAATGTCCTTCTGGTCTCAGCATCCGCTGTTCTTTCTTAATACTTGCTTGCTGCTGACCTATTGTATCTCAAGGGCATCTGATGATGACTTGACCTTGTGTATTAGTACAAACAATGGTTCACAGTCTCTCAAGGTTCCCTTCTTCGGTAGTCTCCAAATTCATCCTTGCGCTCAATCGTCTGGTGTCTTCTTTGCTTCCTACGCAAAGACTGGTTGTAACAGCTCTGGTCTGTCTTGAATAATTTTGCATTCAGGCCTGATATTCAATCTTGCGAGATGTATCGTTTCAACATTTCCTCGAGACCAATTCCTATGTGGGCGGGGTTGAGCGCCGCCTAGTGGCATGTTGGATCACTACAGAACGAGCACAAATTGGGGGGGGGGGTGTACAGTACAGTATACTGAAACGAAACCGCCAATAGGCGGGGCATTCCCGCTTCAGATTATCTTTGTCTGCAAAATATCATCTTTAATACCACTTTTTGTTCATTGATACCCGCGTCATCGCGCCTTTTCCGACATAACATCCTTCGCTGACTAATATTCTCCCGTCTGCTCTCTCATCTTCCATCCATTTCCCCCCTGCCGATTGAGGCTTCCGCTGGGGCCCAGGGTCGCCTGAGCTGCTGCAAATATTTTACCCAGCAGCACACGTCACCGCCGTGAGAGCGCAGACGTCCCAAAATAGCCCAGACAGCAATCGGCGCGAAAAAAGGGGGGCCCCGAGTGTTATGAGCGTTACGAAAGGACGGACGGTGCGCAGACGCGATGCGGACAGGGCAGAAAGACCGACGCGGTGAACTTGTTCACATGCTTGCTCGGCGCGGTCATTATCAGCGCGTTTTATCACTTTTTTTTTTATTTCTCCACAGCTGGTGCTCTCCGTGTAGCTATAATGTCAAGACGTGATGTCAGCGTGCTGCTGTGAATGGTAATGATCTCATGTAGCCACTGAACCCATAACAATGCCACCAGTGGAGTTTTTATGACATCATAAGCATGTTTTTTTATGTATTTGTGGAACATTATTAGTTTAGCTATATGACTTTATATGCATTTATATATACAGTATACTGCACTTTAAATCAAGTGAAAGGGCATGATGTAAGATCGTAGAAACTGTGGAAAGAATGCGCTCCATTTTCAGCCCCTTCTAGGGTTGCCCGCAGCGCCAATTGCCAATCCATCTTCGATACTGCACAGGGAACTTATTTACGAAACAGAACTTCCCCCTCCATTGCGCTATTTATCCGTCAGACCACCCCCGCAGTCAGCAAAGCTGCCAACTTGGAGAAATTGACTTCCAGAACAATTTGTCCGAATCATTTACATTTTGTCAAGAACATTCCCGCGGGACAGTTATTGCAGTATATTATGGAATAGGAATTTTTAAAAATGGAATATTGTTCAGTTGCACAGCATAATCATGACTCGATAACCATAATCATTAAAAAAATTCTGGCTTTTAGCTCTTTTTCTTTCTTACAAATTTACACGGTCTCGAGTAAGTTGTGTGCCGTCATCTAGTGGTCAAGAACAGAATTGCAGTACGCCCAGAATACGGAAAATGAGTTTTAGAACAACGCTGGGGTTATTCACTGTACAAAAAAAAAAAAAATCAGCAAAACGGCGAGATTACACTTTCTTGTATTTGCATAATTATCAATAGACGCCTCTTTCAAATAGACTTCTGCTCCCCTCGACAGTTGAGTGTGTAAACTAAGGAAGTACAATGGAATCCACTGCCGTTTTTTTTTTTTGGCATGATTATTTCCCCGTTGTTGCCCCCGGGCCAAATGACACGCAGGTTTTGAATCAAAAGCAGCTAACAAAAGGCGACATTGAGAATTTTTTTTCATTGCTTCGCAGTAACAAGTCAGATTCGTGGAATTTCTAGCAAGGTTCATTACTTGCTCTGTAATGGCCGTTAAAGTCGGCGTAATTGATGCGTGAGATCATCAGAAAGCGATAAACACGTTTTGAGAGGCGTTGAAAAACACGAGACGCCTCTTGTAAATAACCGTTAAAAGTATTTGAGGGTTGTTTTTTCTTGAAGGTTGTCTCACCATGTCCACTTATGCAATGTATTCAAACGTGGGTTTGTTCTGGTGGGTCTTTGTTTACGGCCTGACAAGTATAAATATCTGAGGCAATCGTGCATGCAAACACAAAATATACATTTAATCATAAACATGGCATGGATGACACCTTAAAAATGTTATTACTTTGACCGTCAAATCTGTTTGAGCAAAAATGACAAAAAAAAAAAACAACGCCAGCGATTCTACAGCCCTCCACAAGGGGGCGCGATTTCCCTAAAGAAACTCCAATGAACGTGTTGTGCGCTTGACTTTTGTTTGGAGCTTCTTCCAAGTGTCCCTTTTCACTAATGTTGTTACCCCCAAAATCAACAGGATGCCTGCTGTCATTCCAAGCCCACCCGAGGGGTGTCGGCGCTGTCCGGTTTAGCCTGCAGAAGGCCAGTGAGGAGCTCGTAGGTGACAAACACCACCAGGTTGACGGGGAAAGCGCGTAGGCAGTTGATTCCCAGACTCCGGAAAAAGACGCCCGCTCCCTCGGTGCGCGTGGTCTCTGCGATGCAGTGGACCAACCCCCTGTATCGCCGCGTCTCCCGTGAGCCGTCCACCTGCAGGCGGGCCTTAATCACGTCCATCGGCGTGCTCATGGACCACGCCACCGTTCCCGCAAAGCCCCCGGCCAACATCACTGCGCTCCAGGCTAGAAGACAAGACAAACGTTATTGCGGTCAAGCTAGCGCTGGGTGATATAACCTAGTTTGTAGGGAAAAAGTCTGTCATCGAGTGTCGCCCTTCACCTGGCTTCTCCGTTCTGCTCTCGCTCAGCAATTCGCAAATGGTGTTGTAGGTCAGAAAGTACATGCCGAACCCGGGCCCGTCCCTTAGCGCCAGTGGCAGGGCTCCCCGGTACAGCCCCCGCGGGCCTTCCTCCTTGAGGATGCTCAGCAGACAGTGGACTGGTCCGCGGTACTTGGGTTTGCTCCCTCGCCGCATCGACTCTGTCTGACACTGGAGGCGCACTTTGACGATGTCACCGGGCGCTACAAACAACACCTTGGCAAGAAAAGCGAAGTATGTGTGTCACTTTAGGATATTATTATGATCCATTCATCCATGTTCTGTAGCCTGTGTGACGCAGATGATGGCGCAGATGGGGAACGTGTAATAGAAAATGGAAGGATGGACTAAGATGAAACAGTCAACAGTGACGAGTATGTAGCTTCCAAGCTATGCTATGACCTTGTGCGGTGTTGCAGATGATGGTGATGGTGATTTGTTTGTTTTTTCGGTACCTGCGTTATTCCGCCAACCAGTCCTGAAAGGAAGATCTCCGGCTTGGTACTGGGGACGTGGACAGTCCCTCGCGCCTGCTTCAGACACTGCAGACAGTTTCGGTAGGTCCCGAACGCCACCGACGACGTGATGGAGATCGTCGTCATCGGCAGCGCCATGCCTTTGAAGAAGCCGTGCACCTGATGTCATCATGGAAAATATTGTACATTGGTATGTTTTTTTTTTTTTTTAAAGTCTTTTTAACCCTTTCATGCACACTGTAGCTTGACAACATGATAAGATGCCCACTGGAGTAACCGACGGCCGTCCCTGAAAGGGTTAAAGTATGTTTGATCTCTCTTTTACAGATTTTCACTTGTCACGGATGGGTCACATCCGTGACAATGTGGCCCCACTGCAAGCGGACCAACAGTAATTTCCTCCATCTGCACGGAAATCGTAAGGCCTCTTCCTTGTCTTGTCTTATCCCTCTACAAGCATTAATAGAAATGCTCATGTAGAATTTGCGTAATCCTGCAAAATATCTGATGCCGCTAGGTCGCCTCTTTTTTTTTTTTTTTTGACAGCGCCCCGTTTGCGCCAATTAAAAGAAAACACATGGGGGGGGGGGGCGACAACCCTCGCTCCTACAAGGCGAGCACAGTATGGATTTAGGGGGTTAAAAAAAAAATACCTGGGGGGCAACATTCCTGCTTTAAGCCATAAGGCACCAACACATTCCATCTGCAGGTGTGCCATAATAGAGGAAGGGCTGGGGGGGTTCAACAAAATTGTAATGGAAACCAAAGTAAAAAACCCCCAAAAAAACATGATTTAAATCAAACCCCAAGACAAAGCATGAATTAAATCAAGCGCAATAAAAATGATCAGCTCAAACTTCTAACTACTGTTCGACGCCATTGCAACACCCACTCTCGTCGAAATACTGCCAAATTAATGCTCGGATTGTGTTCCTAATGAAGAGGCCATGCGCATATATTCTCACCCCTTCTTTGGAAAACGTGGTGGCGACACATTGCCATATTCCCGTAAACTGTCTTTGGGTTTGGATCCGGACCTGGAGAATGGAAGTAGATGAGTGCTGACTTTTTACATGGAATTTCCAATCATATTTGCAAATTAAAAAATATAAAAATTGAAACCGTCACCTTCACGGTGTCCAGAGGGTATCCCACAGCCAGGCCACAGGCCCCTGCGCAAAGAAAGGAAAGCAAGGACCCACACATACACACACACACACACACACACACACACACCTCGTAACCGATTGCCTAACATTGCTTATTTTCTCCGCAATCGGATTTATTCTCATAACATTGACTTTCTTGTAACCCCTATTCACTCTTATAACTCGGCAGCTTTTAGTCTCTCAACCATACATCTTTCGTTATGGAACATCGCAACTTTATTCTTGGAACTTTGTGATGTTATTCTTGTAACGTCACTTCATTCTCATAACTTTACAACTTTTAACAACTTCGTAACCTCAAAACCGCTGCTGGGATTTGCTTGCGAGTTAATCCTTTTAAGGATTTAAGCAAGCTCAAGAAATAGGAGAATGTTGTCAAATGTATACTTTTTTGTGGTCAATGATAACAATTAAGATTAAAATATCTGATTAAAGATTGATATACAACTAATAATTTATGCCGTGATAGAATTGTTACATTTTTTTTTTTAAACTCACTCACGTTTTGTCAACATTAGATTAAAGTACACTACGTGAAGAATTACAGTTACTCTCTTGTGAATGTGAAGGGCACCTCAATGGCTAGCTACGCCCCTGAAGAAAATACTACGGAAGCCGTACGGTTCAGTTTAAAACTTGGTTTATAACCGGTTTGCCGGGTATGTTCCCTCTGAAGAATGAGAGAATACACGTAGCGAGAGTGAGTGGCTATCCGTTGTTTATTACCTACATGTTCACTGATATCTAATTTCAGCCCGTACGATGTCGGTATTAGTTCAAACACACAAATACCGTCAAAAAAATGTAGTAGCCACAATGTTGTTTTCAGCTTCGTCAGTTTTCAGTTACCTGCCAACGAGCCGGAGACGAAATCGGCGACGTGCATCCTAATAGCATGTAAATAGAACCCGGCGTGAAATTATGTCCGAGCATATGGCCATTCTCCTTGTCACCGGCGCTGCTGTTGCCTCGCACTGCATTCGCTGACTTCCTTGCACGAGTAACTGTTATGTAACGTCCTCGGGATGGATGGATGGAGTGCGGGAAGAGACTTGTTCGTGACAAATAGATAAATAAAACGAGAGATGCTGTCAGTGGCTGTGAGCCAAACGTCATCACAATTTCCGGCTTTGACCGCACGTCAAAGAAATTGCTAGTAATTTAAAGTGTTTTCTCGAAACGTTTCACATATGTAAATCCCCACGTGACATAATTTAAGACCACTCCCCTTCCCTCCCCCCGGGTTGGTCGATGGCAGGCGTGAAGGGTGTACACAACAAAATGGCAGCGTTATTACCATACGCTGATTGGTCTACGACGCCGGTCTATGTTCTTTCCGGTTACGTTCTGAAAACTGCATACTATTGAAAAAAGTTGACAGATGATTTTGTGGAGTATTATAACACACAGCGACTGCCACGTGTATTTTTTCGGAATCTCGATAAACGTTGCTCGTGCCGTGACGCTGTTGAGAGCCATGAGCCATTTCCCGGTATTAGCCAATCGCAGGCGAGAACGGTCGATACGCTCAGGTGTTGACTTCATTCCAGCCCTTTTAATGGTCAGGAACCCACCAAACCCCACCCTGAAGTAATTCAAACCTTTGGAGCCCCTCCCCACCACTCCCCGTGTTAGCCAATAATGGGACATAAACATTGGTACAAGCGGGTGTCGGCTCCGTTCCCGACCTCGGATTGGTCAAAAAGCTGCCAAACCCCTCCCCTCGCGAGTTGACTTCCTATGACGCCCACTGTTCCAAGGCAACTTCTGTGAAGCAAGCACACAAAGCTGTTCAGCGCGCTTCCGTGAGGACGAAAAGGCCACGTGGTGCTTGTATTAGCATAAAGATTTACAAATTAGTCGCCAAACGTGACACGCAGGCCAACAGGGAGGAAAGGAAGAGGCTCGCCAAGTGCTCGCTTAAACGTCGCTTCCATTAGTTCATCAAACAGATTACAGCCGTCACTACGCGCCTGGGCGTCAGGCAAATCGATTAAGTGGGTGTGGAAAAGAAGCGAGATTAACGTGTTTTGCATAGAGTGGGGAATCATTCAAACGCGGGCAGGTGACTCGGTGTTGAGCGGTGATGGACTTTGTGGCTGGCTGCATCGGTGGTAAGTGCGGTTTCCCCCCTACCCCTTCCCGTTTGATAAAGTGATGCAACTCTGCGTTCTGATTACGACTAAATGCAAATTCAAAGTCGATCCGCGGGCACGATTAAGCGTATCGAGATCGCTCCTGAGCCGTCACTCCAGAGTCTGCACAGTGGAGCTGCGTGCAGGTTTTTAGATTAAAAATCACGAGAGCAACGCCGAGTTTAGTTTCATGCACTTCTGGGTGGTTTGTGGATGGTCATGGGACACTGAAGGTCCGTGAAATGTCTGCTGGAATGGAAAATCACTGGTGTTTGCCAAGACGCTCATTGAACAATTCAATCAGTTTCGATTTAAGCAGCCGCGTCTACATTTTGATTGGCAAACGCGTTTTGAGGTTAACTTTGCTTTTATTGGTTTTGTTTGTTTACATCTAGAGATCACCCTTGAAGTGTCTAATGCGGCTCGGAAATAGTTTAAATAGGGTCAAGAGAATGTATTATGCGAAAATCAAGGCGGATCACAAGGGAGAGGTCATTTTTTTCCCCCAACAAATATGAGGGAAAAAAGTAGCAATTTAATGTAAATTCAGAATATTACAAGAAAAATGTTGTTTGGATATGATGTAATTTTAGGTTGTAATTTTAGGTTGCTTGTTATGAGAAAAAAAATCCTCATTTTACAAAATAGATTTGGAATATCAAGTGCAAATGACTAATGTTGTAGAAAGAAAAAAAAATCTCTTTCTCTGTCGCGTAAACATTGCCGTTTTTTCAACTATACAATTTTTTTTCCTCGTAACGCCGCCACTTCATATCGTATCATTCAGATTTGGCTTGTGCCTTTGAAATTCTTTATGACATCGCTTTATTCTCGTAACATTGCAACTTTATTCTTGTACTGTAACTTCGATTTAATCTCCTAATGTCGCAATATTGTCGTAACCTTGGTTTTCCTGCATTTCCTCTTCTTACTTAACAATGTTTTTTTTTTCTTTTAACATCACTTCCTTATCTCACAATTTTCAATTTTTTTGGGGGGGGGGGTGGGTGGATTTGTGTCATTACTTTTGACTAGAGATTGTAATTGCAATCATTAGCTGTTGGGCCACCATTACGCGGCAAACAAGGAGAACGAATGACGTTTCGTGAAGGTTAAGCCCTCCTTAAGCCCGTGTTGTTCCGCTTGAGGTGCGACCAAAATGAGCAGTTGAGCTTGTCAACTACCGGCGGGTGTGTGAAGTTTCCACACACATGACACGGATGATAGGAATGGGTATGCACACACACACCCCTATTCTGACCAATGGCGGGCTTTGTCGACAGTACACTGCTGGGGCACGTGCTTGCCAACATTCTCATGTAACTGTGTTGTGGTGGGCCAAAAACAACATCAGCTATAAATGTTGCCTTTTTTTTGTTTTTAAAAGGTGAATGTTCAACCAAATTATCATATTGAATTGCTAGCTTAATGCTAACATTTAATATGAAACGCCATAGGCTGGCTAGAAGAAACTAGCATAGGTGTCATTGTAGTTCTAAAACTTCAAACTGCTACTTAAACACGCAGGGAGCCTCTGTCGTGTATTTTAAAAACACTTTTTTTTTTTGGGTGACCTCTCTTGTGTCCGTGACGCACACGCTAGTAGTAGTTGATTGAGATCAATGGCCGGCCGGCGTCATTTGAGTCAACACACACACACACACACACACACACATGCTTGTGTTCTTTTCCTGGCGCTCTCTTTACAAACAGGTCATGTGGTCAAGCAGGTGCTTACGTGGGGATTAGCTTTCAGACGTTTGTTTACAACTGAGGACGGCAACCGCCGCAGGTTTTCGATGCAAACCGCCCTTCGTCTCTTTCGAGTGGAAAGTTTTAAGATTGGTGTCCCTCCTCAACCCTCTCAGGGACAGCGGTTACTACAGTGGACAGCTTATCAGGTTATCAGGTTGCAGGTTATCTTTATTGGTGTATGAAAGCGTTAAATCACTCCTGTTTTTGTTACTTTCACTTGACCTGTCTCGATTTTTTTTTTTTTTTAAATCTCGTGCCCTTGAGTTGCCTTTTAGTCACGCGTGGGAAGAGAATGTCACGCCCTATTTTTATCCGCTGTGAAGGTGCTTGTGTACTGGTTGCAGACTCCGTACGAGACTCAGGTGGCTCGTGACAGAAATGACCTCAGTTAAGGGCCAGGTGACCTAACAGCGTGCCTGTCGTCACTCAGAAAGATGATGATATCATAATTTCGCTACATGTCAGTCAACTTAAAAGTTGAGTGTGCATTTCATTTTTTAGAACGAGAGTCTTGATCGTAACGTGAAAAGGTTATTTGCTTCTTGAGTAAAATAAGACTTAAAATCTTCAAATATCATTCATGATCATACTCGTGGGGATGAAAAAAAAATGAGAAAAAAGGTTTTATTTGGTTTTTCTGTAGTCTTAATCTTACATTATTTTTAAAACCCATTAAAAAACATTGCAAGGAAAAAGTTATTGGATGATTTTTTTTTTTTTTAAGAAAAAAAATTGTGATTTTTTTTTTTCTTAGGAAAAAAAAATGTACCGGGGTAAGTAAAAATATGTTTGCTCATTGAGTACAAAAAAAAAAAAAACATTTTAAAAATAGTCCAAATGTGACCTCAAGTGAACCCAGCATACTTGGTCTCCGCCATTTGCCAATTCTCAGATTTTTGAGGGGAATCTGTTTTCAATTGTTGGCAGGAAAAACCTCTCTTTGTTTTCAGGCCTCGCTTTGCAACATACCAGCCGCGCTCGATGTCGAGTCAACAAGATTGATGGTGTGTATCGCGCTGGAACAAATTCACATATTTTGAATGCCTCGTTTGTGGTTTGTCCTCAGGTGCTGCTGGAGTTTTAGTTGGTCACCCATTTGACACAGTGAAGGTAGGAAAGAACACTTTAACACCAATTTACATATTTGGTGGGCGGGGGGGAATGTTTGTACTCTTCGGTTGATGAGAAAAAAGAAATCCACAAAGGTCACTGAAATAGGTTAAATTGTGGTTCAACAGAATCTTTAAAAGGAAAAAAAATGTGGCTTGTACAGCCGCGAAATATTGAGACAATTTTGATATTCTTGAGATTTTATTGTACCCTGCACAGATTCAAGACACTTGCCTGTGCCTGATGGAGCAAAGCAGCCCCAGAACATACGCAAGCGTCCTCCAAGCTTCACGGTAGGGACAGTGTTCATTTTCGGTACATTTGTAGTTGTTTTGACTTTTTATTTAGCTTCAAGTGATTTCAGTGACCATTGTTGGGGTTTTCTTTCGTGAACAGAAGTGTACAAACTAGCGTAATGCGTCCACGCAGCCAAATGGCGTGACATGCCACCTCACTGACGCAGGAAATGGCGGTCGTCAGTGTGGCTACAAAATGCGGTTGTGTGTTTCCCCCCCAGGTCAGACTGCAGGTCCAGAATGCTAGTAAGCCTCTGTACCGCGGCACCTTTCACTGCTTCCAATCAATCATTCGCCAGGAGTCGGTACGTATTGACGACACTCCCTTATTCTTTGACCTGAAATACCGCAGAAGTCGTATTGAAGCGCCTCCTCCGTGCCTCTTTCCAGATGTTTGGTTTGTACAAAGGCATCGGCTCCCCCATGATGGGCCTGACCTTCATCAACGCTATCGTGTTCGGCGTGCAGGGCAACGCCATGCGCATGCTGGGCCGGGACACGCCCACCAACCAGTTCTTGGCGGGCGCGGCGGCGGGCGCCATACAGTGCGTCATCTGCTGCCCGATGGAGCTGGCAAAGACGCGTATGCAGATGCAGGGCTCGGGTGAGAAAAAGTCCTCCCGGAAGATGTACAAGAACTCCGTGGACTGCCTGTTGCGCATCTATCGCCGCGAGGGCGTGCGGGGCATCAACAGGGGCATGGTGACCACCTTTGTCCGCGAGACGCCGGGTTTCGGGATCTACTTCCTGGCGTACGACGTGCTGACGAGGCAGCTGGGCTGCGAGCCCGACGACCGCTACCTGATCCCCAAGCTGCTGTTCGCCGGCGGCTTGGCGGGCATGGCCTCGTGGCTCTCCACCTACCCGGTGGACGTGATCAAGTCGCGGCTGCAGGCGGACGGCGTGGGCGGCGTCAACCAGTACGGCGGCATCGCCGACTGCGTGCGGCAGAGCGTGCGCAAGGAGGGCTACGTGGTGTTCACGCGGGGGCTCACCTCCACACTGCTCCGCGCTTTCCCCGTCAACGCCGCCACCTTCGCCACCGTCGCGCTGGTGCTCATGTACGCGCGGGGGCCCGAGCAGGGCGCCGGCGACTGCGAGGCGGCGTCCCAGCCCGCCGGTCGTCACCCTCAAGGTCAGGCTCAAGCCCAGACTTCAGGCCTGTGAGTACGCTTCTCCGTTCCGTCTACTGATGACACTTTACAGCCCCAGCGAGGCGAAGTCCCGACCGCTTAATCACGACGATCGCCGGCTACGTTTTGAACTTCCTCAAGCCCAACCTTTTTTTTTTTTGCTTCGCAGTTGTTCAAACTTGTCATGGGGCAACCAGTTGCACGTATCATGCTGAGATATGCACTTGTTTGTGTGTATTTATGAGGCATGGATGAAGGTAAAAAAAAAATCGGGAGGATAGTTAAATATCCTCCCCCGGAAAACATCATTGAGATTATAAATCATTTTCCTCCTCCAAAATACTGTTGAATTGTCAGAATTTTGCACCTTATTTTCTTGATGCAACTATATTTTCAATACTTGTCTTTTTTTTTTGTTCCCCAGAATATTACATTTTATCCTCATAAATGTGTTGAAGTTATTCTGGCATCATAGTTTTTTTTTTTTTTTCCTTTCATGAGTTAAATTTGCGTCGCACCCATTTGCGTTGATACAATCAAAAAAAAAAAAAAAAAAAACGAGCGTGATTTGATTGACACCCGGGACCAAAAGCGCTTTAGAAATGCACAACAAAGATATGGGGTGGCGGCATGTGGAGGGACCAATAACCAAAAGAGGGAGGGAATATTTATAACTGGTGTGTTTATAACATTTTTTGATGGGAGGTGGGGGGGGGGGGGCATTGGGGGGTTTGTGCGTACAAGGTTTTTACTTCTGATGAATGTATTATATTTCTGATCCAGAACTGGACGGTGCTGTAATATAATGACACCTATTTATGTTTTGGAAAGTGTGCAAAATAATTTTCTCTCCCGTGATGCTTTTACAATCCGGAATGCTGGATTTGTTGCTAGGAAGAAAAAAAATAAGTCAAGCTATGCAATCAGCTGAGCATCAAATGTTTTTTTTTTTTATGGTGAACCTTCTCTGAAGCACAAAGAATAACTTCTTTTTTTTTTCTTTCTGTGACACACTTGAAAAAGTACAAAGGAGTATTAGGGCCATGCAGAAAAGAGGTCAAATATGATAATTTAGGAGGGAAAAAAAATATGTATTTTCTGAGATTCGTAGATGCACATTGAAGGAAGATGGTTTTATATTTTGGGATTTTAAAAAAAAATCATTTCAGATTTTTAGTCTTTCAAGGAAAAAAAAAGATTTTGAGAATGCACTTGTGTAGTTTTCTTACGTTTAATCGTGGCATATTAAAATGAATGAAAACTTCATTTTCATGGGAACTTTTTGCCCAGAAAAACGCAACAAAATGCCCCGACGTTTTTTTTTTTTTTTTTAATATCCTTTCAGTGTAGCTCTATTACTCCCTGGTTTGCAAAGCGGTTGAATAAGAACCTGATCTCGTAGTAGCCACGCGACTGTTTTGGTGGCTTGAGAGTATCTGCTTTATTGCCTTACTTTTTACACAAGCCGAGTTCATGTGACGGAAGAATTGTTTTGGAGATGGTTTCTATTGTACAAAGAATATGTATATGCAACATAGAGACTTTTTTTTTCTCTGTCTCGTGAGGTTACAAGTGTGCAATTTGAATATTTTATTTGTCTCATGTGGTTGACTGTGAGAGTTCAACGTGAAAGACGTAGACATGATAATGTATGCATTTTGTTGTGGCAATAATCCTCTGCACAGTGAGGTCAATATTTTTTCTTTTTAATACAGTAATTCCATCGCATCTAAAATGAGAAAGTTCCTTCGCGATTTTATTTTGTTTGTTTGATGTGCATGTCTACCAAATCTACTTAAAAGAGGGGGAAGTTTGATAAAACACCGTTCCTGAGGAAGAACAACCTGAGATGGAAGGGCGTATCACAGGTACATTTATCACCTCTTTCACTTTTAAAAATTGATGTAATAGTAACACGACTACAAATGAGGAATGTTTCCAACGTAATCAGCTGTCGCGAATGTCAGTTTGTTTCCAGTGCTAATGCTAGATTAGCATTGATCCAACAGTTGTGACGACCAAAACTATGCGCTTTTATAATTGCATGCCGGTATGAACGTTTTACACTTTGGCACTATGTTCAAGTACAGTTTTAATGTTCTCCTCTGGTGTATTTTAATGTTTTTTTTTTTAAGCGGGGGTTGCCTTTCCATCTGGACTTGTGACATAGCTTGCTTAACAACCGAGAAAGAAAATCCATTCACCTCATGATTTTATTAGACATCCAAAAAAACTAAAAGAATTACATGAACTGGTTTTACCGAGGCGGATTCCAACATGTTATGATTGCATCACTCCATGTAGAGCCACTAAGATTCAGTTAAACCGTCAGTTTTTGACATGAAGTCACTTTTTGTGCGCTTTATCAACAGGAAGAGGACCTGTGGTAATGGATTTGCAATTGAAGTCCGTGCAAGGTGTTCATGATACCAAATTGTACAAACTTTATTTCCCCAGCCACCTAAAGGATGGACTAGTCTTTATTTCTTTGCAGTCTGGAGACGCTCGCTCACATTCTCCCAGTTGATGACGTTCCAGATGGCCTTCACGTAGTCAGGCCGGACGTTTTTGTACTGCAGGTAGTAGGCGTGCTCCCAGACGTCGATGCCCAGGAGAGGGATTAGGCCTGGGGGGTGAGAGTTCGGAAGGAGTGAAGCATTTGGGAAGAGACACTCAAGGAAAAAGTGAGACAAGGCTGACCTGTGGTCCCTTGCAGAGGATCCTGGTTGGCGCAAGCTGCGATGCAAAGTCTTCCGCCTTGTTTGTCGTAGCCCAGCCAGGACCAGCCTGAGCCTTGGACTGCCACCGCGGCGGCAGACATCCTTTCCTTCATGCTCTGGAAGGAGCCAAAGTCCCGCTTGATGGCCTCCATGAGCTCCCCTAACAAACAATGCCACTTAGTATCATGCGTTTTTGATTCGGTGTTGGGTGATGTCTCACCACTCGGGGTCACAAATGTTTCTCAAAGACTAAAAGGGAAGGGCAATGTATGCTAATTGGCTAATGTTACCTTGTGGCTCTCCGCCAGCGTTGGGAGAGAGGTTAGTCCAGAAGATGGTGTGGTTAATATGACCTCCTCCATTGAACTTAAGAGCAGGCTGAAGGGCGACCTGCACAGTCACGTCTCCTAAAACACACCGCGACCAAAAGGGGCGTAGGATGAATCATTCTAATTCACTACTTGTCGTTGATTCGTCGCCATGCCAGCGGGTTCGCTAACCTTTTGCAAGCGCCTCCTTATACTTCTCCTCCGTCACGTTGAGGTTGTTGACGTAGGTGGCGTGATGCTTGCTGTGGTGCAGCTGCATGATCTCCGCGTTGATGTGTGGCTCCAGGGCGCCATAGTCGTACGTCAGGTCAGGAAGCGTGTGCTTCTGTCTGTGCGCCTGCTGCACGGCTTGACTCAAACTAGCAGCGCACCTGACACTCACACGGTGACACATTTGCCTTCATTAGGGTCACTGTTAAGATACGGTGTTATTTAATTTTTTGAAGTGGGATTTTATGTCATGGCTAGATCAGTTCAGTCCACGTGTTTATGTAGCAAATCATATCAAAAGTTGAAGTGATAAGCCACTGTTTGCATTATAGTTGCAACTCGATTTATGACTATGTTTACGTCACTTGTTTGGTAACCATCTCAGACAGAGTAAAGAAATGTGATGTTTCGGTTTGCTGTTATGCATTGGCTAAAATAAATAAATTAGGCAACTGCACATTTATTGATTACAGTGCCACCATTTGGGCAACCATATTGGACTTTTTTTTTTGCTTCAAATCAATGATGATTCAAAAATGACTGATTACAAGTTAGTTTGATGATTTGAAATGAATTGACAACTTTATCCACGACAATGTTACCTGAGCACAACATTATAAGCGCATTATTTACCAGTCTGGTGTGTCTTTCAAAAAAGAGTGCGCAACAAAGTAACCTAGCCGGACAGCTCCTCTGTGTTAGCATGTGCAATGTTAGCTTTAGATAAGCAGCACAGCGTTGTTGTGTCGTGGCTATTTCACGAACCCTGTAGAGCAAGTGCGCAATGAGCCGCTGGCTTGGTGAAGTTTTCGCTTTACCTGCGGATCTGAGCAACTCTGCAGAGCATGTTGGTGACGATGTTACCGAGACAGAAGTGGATTCTTTTCTGAGCCTTTTCAACAACTGCCCTTGAACTCAAGTTGGGCTGGTTCAATTTGACAGCCGCGTGCGACCGTACCATTGTCAACACGCGGGGGGGTTGTCGAAATGAAATGGGCTACACTGAAATCAATGAAAACGTATTGTATGGATTTCGTATTTCTGAATTACATTTAAAACCTTATTCATTGTATTATACACACGTAACATTTTTTATACTGTGTAATTTGTCGGAATAATAAAATGTATGCATGATGTTTTATGCCTATTTTAAATGTCACTATTTTAATAAGCGCTGCAAACAAAATTGAAAATACAAATATTGTTTGTATGAAGTAAATATTTGAAAATATTTTGTATACTTAAAAAGGCAAAAAAAAATCACAAAAAACGTCAGACTGATCTTCAAAGATCGTCTATCAGAGTATAAGGAATTTCTCTCTTCAAAACACAAATTTGGACATGAAAATTAAAATTTGGACAATATGAAAATTTGGACAGTATGAAAACAATAGTTCCCATGGTGTCTTAAATGAGCTAAAGTTGAAATGGTTTGAACAAGTTTTGACCCATGAAAGAATTATTTAAATTGAATAAGATAAGAAAACCTTTATTTGTCCCACTGTTACCGAGACAGAAGTGGATTCTTTTCTGAGCCTTTTCAACAACTGCCCTTGAACTCAAGTTGGGCTGGTTCAATTTGACAGCCGCGTGCGACCGTACCATTGTCAACACGCGGGGGGGTTGTCGAAATGAAATGGGCTACACTGAAATCAATGAAAACGTATTGTATGGATTTCGTATTTCTGAATTACATTTAAAACCTTATTCATTGTATTATACACACGTAACATTTTTTATACTGTGTAATTTGTCGGAATAATAAAATGTATGCATGATGTTTTATGCCTATTTTAAATGTCACTATTTTAATAAGCGCTGCAAACAAAATTGAAAATACAAATATTGTTTGTATGAAGTAAATATTTGAAAATATTTTGTATACTTAAAAAGGCAAAAAAAAATCACAAAAAACGTCAGACTGATCTTCAAAGATCGTCTATCAGAGTATAAGGAATTTCTCTCTTCAAAACACAAATTTGGACATGAAAATTAAAATTTGGACAATATGAAAATTTGGACAGTATGAAAACAATAGTTCCCATGGTGTCTTAAATGAGCTAAAGTTGAAATGGTTTGAACAAGTTTTGACCCATGAAAGAATTATTTAAATTGAATAAGATAAGAAAACCTTTATTTGTCCCACAATGGAGAAATTCGCAATCTACAGCAGCAAAATTGAATGAATGAAGAAACAATGGAATTCTGTCACACAATAAACAGTTCCGAATAATACTTTAAACTTTAGTTGGTGTCCATAATGCGGAAATGTTCATTGTGTGTGTGTCACTAAATATCTGGAGAGTGATACGTCTTATTTTTTTCCCTTGCTGCGCTCTTTGTGTGACTCGGGAGGAGGTGGCCGCCATCCAACTCGCCTGCTCCATTCCGCTTGTGTCCTCCCCTCGCAAAACAACATGACAGAGCTCCTCGCCTAAATATAACCTCGCCTTCGACGCCACGCCGTGAACGAATCGTTCCAGCCGAGACGCCCGGAGACCACCGCCGCAAACGGAAGGTGGAGGGGGTGCTGGTAAGTGGCTTGTGAAGGCCTCCCGTTTCGTGCAGCCCGACCGTGGGCTCGTTTGAGGAGAAGGAGCGAGCGAGGGAGGGAGTCGTTTCCTTCACCGCCATTTTGTGATAACAAGGTGCCGAGAACATAGGCGATATTGGCATGATTGTTGCTTTTAAATCGGGGGGGTTGTGGAAGCCACACGCAATGGGCTAACATAAATGCGTGTATTCGAGCAGCGGGGGCGACGCGGAGTCAGCGGGCGAGCGTTAACATTAGCTTAGTATGGGTGTCGTGCTAAGTGCTAGCTGCCACACTCGCGAGGCTCCGGACGCTCTGTGCTAGCCGGTAGCTTCGCCTTCCCCTTAGCGTCCCGCTTCAACGCCGTGCTCAGCAAAAGAATGCATTTCAAAACAAACATTTCGAGTAGCTTAACTGCATCGTCGTTGTGTTTAAAGCATTTGTTTTGCTAACTGTGCCTCCCCTACCTGCAGAGTTCACAATGACCAACGAGGAGCCTTTGCCCAAAAAGGTGAGCTTATTTGACCCAAATCAGATCCTACATTCTGTTATGGCTCCTGAATATTGACTGTCCTTTGTTGTTTCTTCTTCAAGGTTCGCCTCAGTGAATCTGATATGAAAACCTTGACCCGAGAGGAGCTGTGCACACGGTATACACACACACACATTTTATACACATGCATTACAGTGAACCCGCGTTTATTGCTGGGGACATGTTACTGCAGCCATGCATCAATGATCAAAATCCGTGGAGTAGATAGGCCTCATGTCAAAAATTTTAGTTTTGCCACTTTCGTGTGTTTTGGACCAAGGCTCAACAATTATTTCAATTGAAATCTACATTGCAGTGTGGTGAATGCAATTTTCAAATTGCAATGGCTGAAAATGTGGAAAGTAAACATCTGCTTCATTTCAGACATTCAGTAATATACATATATATGCATGTATATATGTGTGCGTGTGTCTAAATTCAGTGCTTAAGAAGTACAGTCCACATGTTGACATAAGATGAAGCAAAACAAAAAAGTTAAAGTGCTGAAGCTACAAATTGCTTGACATTTTTGTTGCAGTCTAATTTATGACAGGCAGCCTTACGTTTACGCTTGTTTGATAGAATTTGGTTGGGGTCGTGAACACTTAAAAGACTGCAAATTCAGTCTTTCGTAAGTGAACATGCCTATTTTGGGTGGATTAAAAAAAAAAGCCTTTCACTGTATTACATCGCTGGTGGGATATCCTGTTTGTTTGAGGAGCCTCACGTCACATGTATTCTCCTGTTATTAGGTGGAAACAGCACGAGTCGTATGTGCAGGTCCTGGAGGCCAAATATGCCGAGCTTTGTTGTAAGTACACATACTCCGTCACGCTTGTGTGACTCTTGATGGCAATCATGCACATGTTGATGATGGCCGAGGGTTAGTTTCCTGACGCCTTTACTTTCTTCTCTCCGGGACCGCCAGCCAATGATGTAACAGGCCTGAAGGAATCTGAGGAGAAACTCAAGCAGCAGCAGCAGGACTCTGCCCGCAGGGAGAACATCTTGGTCATGCGGCTTGCCACCAAGGAGCAGGAGTGCACGGTACGTACATCTTTCTGCTCTTATCGATGGCAACATAATAGGCGTTAAGTGGAGTGGAAAAAATGAGCCATGGTGATTGTGTTTAGATTTTGCCTGTGGATAATTTTGGGTGTCATCAGTTAAAGCAGCCTCATTGGCCACGATGTAAGGATGGCACTGTCAGAGAGGGTATTGGGAAATGCTCTCCCTTGCAGCCCAGTAAGCTTTTTGTTTCTCCCCTTAGACGCACATCCAGTACCTGAAGCAAGCCCAGCAGCCCAGCGCGGCCCAACTGCGCTCGTCCATGGTGGACCCGGCCATCAACTTGTTTTTCCTCAAAATGAAGGCGGAACTGGAACAGACTAAAGACAAACTGGAGCAGGCCCAAAATGAACTGAGTGCCTGGAAATTTACACCTGATAGGTAACGACAATCGAAATAACACCCCCCTCCCAAAACCGCCACCTCCCCCAATAGAAGTCAAGACTTCTGCACGCCCCCACCACTCTCACTGCAGCAACCACGGTGGGGAGGGGAACTGACTAAAACCAGTCAAACTATCAACCCAAAAAAAAAAAAAAACATTGGTGATTTTGAACTGGGCTGCGGCAGGCGCAGGCCATTAACCTC